CGGTGGGGACCTGAGCTCCGCGGGACGCCGGGCCCCGGTGGCTCCGCCCCGCCGCCGTCCCTCACCCACCGCCCACTCTGCGGGTCCCCGAGGGCCGCCGCTCGGCTCGGGGCTCCGCCGCCTCCAGGACCGGCCCGCTCGGGTGCTCCATGGCGGGGACTCGGCTCCGAACCGCCCCCAGCGGCTCCGCCCGGCTCCGAACCGCCCCGCGGCTCGCGCTGCGGCCGGGCCGAACTTTGCGGGCTCGTCCGAGCCTGAAACGGGCCCCGGCCCCGGCCCCGGCTCCGGCTCCGCGGCAGCTCCGGCTGAGGCGCAGCGAGGCACTAATCCCCACACACCCGGGAGGGGACCCGGGCCGGGGCCAGTCGGGGCCGCCCCAGCCAGAGCCGAGCAGTGACGCTCCGCACGGGGCGCTGGCCTCCCCCAGGCCTGGAGGCTTTGAAGCCCAGGCTGGGCAAACACCTGTCCGGGATGGGCCCGGGTTGCTTGGTCCCGCCTGCCCTGTGGGGAACCCTTCCAGCCGGGGCTGTGCAGTGAGCACACCCGGCAGTGGCAATGGGGGAACCCAGCCCTGCAGAGAGAGGGCTGAACTAGGGTGTCAGGATGCGACTTTAGCCCTTGTCAGGGTGGCTTCCCGCACAGAGCCCCCTTTATCTTATCAAACATGGGGAGAAGTTGCTCCCTGCTGGCAGTAGTGCTGGCCTGGATGGTGTTTGGGGTCTGAGCTTTACTCAGCTGTCACTGTGTCATGCTGGCTTGGAAGCAGCCTTGTGTTGAGCATGTGCTGCCCCGTGTGGAATTAAATCAAAGCAGGGACACGTTCTTTTGTCCTTCTTGCTGCCAAGGTAAATAAGCTGAAGGCTCTGTACTTTCTTGGCCGTGGATCCTTCAGATGAAACAGAAGTGAGGCTCTTTGTGGACTTTTAAGGACATTTGGCACTTCTTGCAAGACTGGAGTTCTCCACAGAGTCCTTAGTCACCATTTCCCTTGTTGGGCAGCATGTTACTTGTCTGCCCTCTCACTCCAGAGGTGGCTTAATTTCAGTGGTTACGGCATAGGGCAAGATTCTGCTCTTGTTTACCCCATTGTGAAACTGAAATAACCCTTGGAGTATCATCAGACTCTGCACCATAACAATAAAATGAATTGAGATGAAAGGCACAAAGCGACCGGAAAATATACACCCATCTGGTGCTTAACAAGCTTATTTCCTTATTGTTTAGAATGTATTTAAATCTGAGCTTAAGCACTTTGTAATGCATGCAGGGTCCTGGTATAGTTACTGCGATAAGGGTGAATACATAGCACCCGTGGCTTATGTGCTTAGAGCACAATAAAGAAAAATGTACAATTGGGAATTTTCATACAGTCCTGGATGCCCCATCAGACAGCCCAATCTGGCTTGGACTGCACAGTACAGGCTAGTGCCACAAAAATACCCCCCATTCTTAGTTTTATTTCCAGGCTACTTCTTTCTCAGTTTGATATAAGCTGCACTATTAGGATATCACTATTCTGTCTATCCTATATATGCTGTTGCAACAGCCATCTTTAATGGTAGAAGACCAGCATGTGAGAGAGAATCTTGGTTTGAGTCCCTATCTGGTCGGTCAGTCTCTCTTCTCGCTCTCTCGCTCTCTTCTTTTTTTTTTTATCCAAATAATTGATCCTCAGTAAAAAAAAAGTGCTATTCTGGGACATTCATAAAAATGAGCTAGCCCAGGATGATGATACCCCACACAGAGCATCAGCTCACTCTCTCAGAAAAGTTATTCGGGCACCAAAATACTTGGAATTTTTATTGCGTAAATGTGCCTGTTGAATCCAGCCAGCATTTACTTTTGATGAGTGAAATAGGGGTCAATGTTAGCATGAAACTTGATTTTACGTTGTTTTTAGAGTGGGTGTCTGGTTTTGTATTTGCAATATCACAGGGAAAGAGGAATAAAGATTTTTATTTTTTTTTGGTCATGGAATTTAAGGCCAGAAGGGACCATTATTGTCCTCTAATCCGAGCTTCAGCATAGCGCCTACTATTTCTTAGCCTGAAGGACTAAGATTGGGTGACTTTTTTTTCCAATTTCAAGGAAGTCAGAGGACTTATGAAAATCCTGTGTAGTGGCAGGCTGGGGAGGAGAGGAAAGCACAAGTGGACTTCAGTGTGAGCTAAGGGCTCTTAATATACAAACCATTGCTTTGGGCTTGTCCTTTTCATAAAAGCACACACACAATTCGTTTGTCATTTCCTCAAAGTTAAAAACACTTTCCACATTTGGCAACTTCTCTTCCTAGTAGAGCACCATTAACAGGGTTTTTTGTTTACTGTGGTGCCTGCTCCAGCGTCCTCAATACCGTCTGAATAGATGTAGGAGCAGAGTTTGGCAGAACTAGCCCTTCCAGTTCTAAAGCCAAGAATTGGCAGTTGCCTATTTTTAATAAATTCCAACAAAACATTTGGTGATTGGTAGGACATCTTATTTTCCTATAGCAGGATCAGACGATGTCTAATAGTTGGCCTAGAAGAGAAATTGTGTGTGTATATAGATATGTGCAGGCTCTTCATTTTATTTATTTGTATTGAGCTAGAACAGGGGTCAGCAACCTTTCAGAAGTGGTGTGCCGAGTCTTCATTTATTCACTCCGATTTAAGGTTTCGCGTGCCAGTCATACATTTTAACGTTTTTAGAAGGTCTCTTTCTATGTCTATCATATATAACTAAACTATTGTTGTATGTAAAGTAAATAAGGTTTTTAAAATAACTAAGAAGCTTCATTTAAAATTAAATTAAAATGCAGAGCCCCCAGGACCCAGGCAGTGTGAGTGCCGCTGAAAATCAGCTCGTGTGCTGTCTTCAGCATGCGTGCCATAGATTGCCTACCCCTGAGTTAGAACCTAGGAGCCCCTGTCATGGACCAGAAGCCCTTCGTGTTAGGTGTTGTATAAACCAGAACAGAGACTGCAGTGTTTAGAGTGGGACATGAACAATGTCTTACAGATGGCAGAGCTCTCTCCTGCAGTGACAGAGTTGGATTAAAAAGTGGTTTATTCATTAGTTTATAAACTCCCTGGGACGATCTTTTTTTGTTCTTTGTTTGTACTGCACCTAGTGCCATGGGATCCTGATCCATGACTGGGGCTTCTAGGAATTATGGTAATACAAATAATAATAATCACAGCAAGATTTAAGTTTCCCCTCAAAAACCACACACACAGACACAGACACACACACCAACCCAAGTCCCATATACACAACAGTCTACACTAGATTAGTTCCCCAACTCGGGTCAGCCGTAGTGAAGAGAGAACAGAAAGAGCAATGGCTTCCTTGAGCTGCTGTAACCTAACAGCCTGTTCAATGGGGTGGAGGGAAGGGTACGGTGGTGCTGTTGTCACAGCATGTGCGGTGGTCTTTATGGCTACTGGGCATGCAGCCTACTGTGCAGACTTCCTGGTTGCTATATATTCTATGCTGTGGGTAGTTTTGACTGTCTGCCTCCCCGCTTCCAGTAAATACTGTTCATCTGTTTAAAGGAAAATTGCCGAGTACAAAGTCTAGCTCTACTCCATATCTAAGAAGAAAAAAAATTTAATCAGACAGCTGCTATTAAAAAGTTAATAGCTTGAAATGGGCGAAGTTCAAATAGTTTGTGAATTAGGCATGAAACGTGTTTATTGAACAAGTTGTAAACAATATGCAACATGTTTCAGTCCTGTGGGCTATTTGAATTATCCAAGTCAACTATTGTATATAATCCGTTATTTCCTCTGTTTATGGAGTGTGAGATTGGTCATTCAAGTCGCATGGTATATTGTTTCTGCTTCTTTATTAGATGATTAAAACTCAAATAGGCAGAGCAAAAACAGGTTTCAAGATGGCCCCCAGATACTTTACATTAAAATTCTAACTTTTGTTAACAGGTATACAAATCTGTGAGACTGCCACTTTCCACAAACATTTTTGCGACCAGGTCACTTGTGAACGTTCAAGGAAAACAAATTTGAAGGGGTGTGAATACTGAAGGCTTTTTACTTGAACAAATGTTCACAAATACTGTGCTCGCAGCTTTATTTACCAAACACTGTCAGAAGGCAGGTAACTAGATAGTTTGTATTGCCCAAGAGAAACTACAGTGTTGTGGGGATAAAAGATAAAAATTCCATGCTTGCAAGCCTACCAGCTGTCTGATACTGAACATCTAAAATTCCTGGTTATAATAAAGCAGAATGGTCACGCTGTATTTTATATTTAGTACTTTATTTGCATTTGACATAAATCCACATAAAAACATTCAAATCTATTTGGTTTTAGTATTCAGGCAGCACAAAGTTGTGTTACTGAGAGTGGTGATATTAAAGCAGTACAAATAAACATGCTTTTCCTTGTAACCGAGCATAGATGTAGTTAAACCTACACTTTCATCAATCACCAGCTGCCCTGGCTTCTTAGGCTTTACAGTTAAAATACAACAGTTGAGCGTTATCTGCTATATTCACCAATCCATACAAATAGAGTACTACCTTGGTAAAATCAGAACAGCAGGAAATATGTGCACGAGTCAAATTATAAATAAAATAGGAAGGTAGGTTTGCTAGTTAGAGCAACTGCCACTTAACTGCATATATGTGGAGTTAGGATATGGGTCTGTTACATAAGTGCATTTTCCTCCTCTTTTCACATTAAAGTTCATCACTTTCA